ATGGGCCCTGGCACCGCACAGGGTCCCACGGGCAGGCAGGCGCAGCACCTTTGCTCCTTCCTGTGCAGAGTTTCCACTCTCAGAAGAAACTGGAAAGTTGCAGAGGGAAGTAGGAGCGGGTTGGGAAAGCCTCCTCGTCATCCTCCTCTGCAGTGGTGTGTGGAACTCCCCCGGGGCTGCCCAGCCCCGGGGAATCCTCTGCTCCAGGCCCTGTGGACGCCCCGTCCTGGCTTTCTGTGCCCAGGGTCCTGGAGGCAGGAACAGCCCCTGCGGGGGCTCTTGATGATACAGCCCCTTAGATGATGCCCAGCCCCTGGTCCCAGCTTCACCCACGTCACAGCAGTTGTGGCGGACCCCGGGGCACTCCCCAAGGCACCGCCTTTCCAAGCTGGGGGACACTAGCCTGGTCTGCTTTTCCACGGCCCACCGGCGCCAGCTCTACATGCTCGTCCACAGGACGATCTATCACAACGCCCTCGGGACACCGCCTGGTGGGACTACTTTGGCGAGGGCGAGGCCGACGGGCCCCAGTCGCAGAGCCTCTGCTCAGAGCTGATCCTGAGAGCCACCGGGGACCTGGGCTGGCGGCTCCCCCATGGAGCCGTCGCAACAGGCGTGTGGCTGGCGCATTTTGAACCGGTCTCCGACCAGTGCCCATTTTGTAGCGAGAGGGAGACTCTGGCGCACCTTGTCCCCGAGTGCGCCAGGCTGCAGCCCCTGCACCTCCTCCTCCTGCACTACTCCCTGCACCTTTTAGTTTACGCGCACCCCATCCATCGCCCCACCAAGGCCTGGGACCTCCTGGTCAACCTCCTCCTGGCTCTGGCCAAGCTTGTCATCTGGCTATCCAGGAAGGAGGCTCTGGCCGGGAAGGCTCCTGGTGACCTCAGGGCATTTTTCCTCAGTGTCCTTCGCGTGCATCTCTGGGCAGTAGCCACCGGCGAGCTCTCCAAGTTCGCGAGCTGGTGGGCACTGTCCGGGGTCTCTGCTCGGTGTCCCCCCGGGGAGCACTTGTTTTGGCCCTATGACCCTGCATGTGCACGCCCTGTTTTCTCTTTTGTTGTCCCCCGTAATTTATTGGTGCTTTAGGGCGCTGGTCGCCCAACCCAGTGGCATCCCCAGCATGCGGATTTTAGGCTTTTAACCTTTTAACTGCGAAGACCTGCGAGCACCAAACGCCACAAGGACACCCCCGTCCATTTTTTTATCTGTTGATGGCTTCACGGCGCCGGTCACCCAACGCAGCAGTAGCAGCGGCCAGCTTGAATTTGCCCCCAGCCGGGGGCGACAACTTCTGGACCATCTCTGGACTCCCGCACGGGGTCCAGAGGACTTTACGTACCGCCAGCCGCCATTCAGCGGCGGCCCACAGCTCCCAATGGTCCTCACTGTGACGCTGCAGACATCAGATAGTCCCAGGCAGAAGCTGAACTGAAACCCAGCACTTCTGCTTCCAGGATGACTGGCTAGAAAAGCCCAAGAACTGCCCCCACCACGCCCCAGTGCCGGCTCTGGCCAACCTCCGCTGGCAGCAAGGGGCCGGACACCTCAGGGCTGCTCATGCCCCCATGCGAACCCCTGCTCGCTATGCGAGAGCGCCCGCCTGCCACCAGACCAGGCAGACACGGCAGGACACGGGCATGTGGGGCTGCCAGGATCCCAGGGGAGCCACAGGCTCTGGTGAGGGCAGGGGATCATCCCCGGGCTCTGGACAGCTCTAGGAGCAAAATGGGGGGCAGAAAGATCTGCGAGACAGTGCCACGAGGCCCTGCTCACACGGGCGAGCACGTCGTGGCCCTGCCACGCCCCGGCTTGCAGCCAGGCCCACGCCTGCCCCTCTGGGGCGCCTGTTCCCAAACCGCCCTGCCCCGGCAGGGAGAAGCTCCCACGCTGAGCACGCCCCGGCACCCAGCTCGGGACACAGCGCAGGCAAACCCGGCCCGCGGCGCGCAGGGCCACTGGGGCGGGGCAGCGGCCTGCGGGGCAGGTGGGAGGAGGAGGCCACGGGGGCCACAGCAGGGAGAGGAGGCCATACCCTGTGGCTCCCGGCCGGCCCTGCCTGGCACGCGGAGCCGTCCTGCCGGACTCCCCTGTGCCAGGAGACCGGGGAGGGGCGCGCGGGGAGACAGGAGGAGCGGGCCCACGACCACGAGCCCCCGCAGCCCGGCGCCCGGCACAGCACAGCATGCATTGGGGTGGCAGCACCCAACGCAGCCCGACCGGCTCAGGGATGCTGCGGCACGTCCCCTGCGTGGGTGCTGTGGTTGCCGGCCTGCCGAGGCCTGTTCTCGCCCCGCCTCGCTGGCCGGGGGCCAAGGGAAATCCTGGCTGGGCTGCGGTGGCCCAGCCCTGGCTGAAGCAAACGGGGAGTTTTTCTGCGGGGACTGGGCCCCCCTGCCCTGCGGCGCGGATTGGCTCTGGGCAGCCCCAGCCCTTTCCTGGGCGGCCGCGGGGCTGCGAGTATAAGAGCCAGCTGCCCCCCCAGTGCAGGAGGGTCCCTCGCAACATGGAGCGCTGCTGCCGCCTCTGCCTCCTCTGGCTACTCTGCCGAGGCCTCTTGGGCGTGAGTTTCACTTTCTCTTCCCTCCCCAGGCGTGACCCGCGAGCCAGACCCGGCTGCCAGGCTGCTGCCAGGCTCCATGCGCCCCCCAGGCAGCCGGCGCAGGGGCTGGAGCGGGCCAGGGAGGCCTTCGAGCCGCTTGGCAGCCTCTGCTAGGACCCCCAGCTCAGCCCTGGCGCCTTGGGGCGCAGCGGCTAGCGGGCACCTTGGCACCTGCCCGGGCAGGGGTCTCGGCACAGGGGCCGCAGCGAACAGGGCCTGGGGGAGAGCCAGCGCTGGCTGGGCACTGCCTGGTGTTTGGCTGGACCGGGAAGCCCCGTTCCCAGGGGCCGTGCCTCGGGGACAGCCGTACCTTGATGCCTGTGGGGCAGAGACGGGTTCAGGGCATGTGGGGCAGCTGGGCAGGCCCCCAGGATCCCTTTGCAACCTGGAGGCCCATGGGTGCCAGTGAGCCATTGGGGGGCCGTGCCCATCACAGGTCCTCTGCCCTGCACGAGTGCGAGGGCACCTATTTGTCTCGTTCAATTCCCGTGGGCCAGGGAAGCGCTTGGCCGAGCTTTGGTGACACAGGGGCCCTGCCTGGGCAGCGGAGCGTGCCGGGGCCCTGCTCGGAGCACGGAAATCCCCCGATTTCCCTGCACGGCCAGACCCCAGTACGGCTGCCCCTCACTCCCAGGCCAGAGCAGGCTGCAGGGGACAGGGCTCAACCATGCTCCCGCAGAGCCTGGCTGGGCACAGGCCTGGTCTGCGCGCGGGGCAGGAGCGGGGACAAGAGGCAGGCTGTGGGGGCTGAAGGGACATGGCCTGGGGTGGAGGGGTGGAAGCAGACAGGGCTGTGCGTGGGCGGCAGGGGATCCCAGGCAAGCGGAGGCGTCTCTCGGTTCCCCTTTTGGGGGCATTGGCTGTGACCCAGGGTCCCATCCTGCCCTGGGCCCCATGGGGCACTTCCCTCCCCAAGGGCAGAGCCCTGGCCCCACAGAGCCACCCATGGAGCCCCGGCAAGGGCACACGCCACCCCGGACCCCGGTGCCTGGCGGGACTGAACCCCAGGGCAGGGGCAGCTGCAGGGGCATCTGGCTGCACTGCTGGCCCGGGAGGGTTGTTTGCTTGCCCACATCCCCTGCCCACTGCTGGGGGAGCCTGGCCCGTCTTCACCCCGGGGAAGGGGCACCCTGGACGCCCCTGCCATGGGGGCCCCAGCACTGCTGCTAGGGGAGGAGGCTGAACCCCAAGCCAGCACCTGGGCTCCCAGCCCTGCCCGGGCTGCCTGCTCAGGCGGGGCAGACCTGGGTGGGCCCTGCCTTCACCAGCTGCTAGGAGATGCGGTCAGGGCGCTGACATGCGCCAGCCGCAGCAGAACCGCTGCGATCCCACTTCAGGGAGGTGCGGGCGGCACGGGGGCGGCAGAGCTCCGGTCCCGGTGGTTGTGGTTACGTGGGCAGGGTGAGAGCGAGTGCAGGGTGCACGGGCCGTGCCAGGTGGCACCGTGCAGGGGAGGGGAGCCAGGTCTGGGGCAGGCAGGAGCCAGGCCCATGGTGGCTGAGCTCTGTGCTCTGCTCGGTTCCAGCACTTGGCCGCTGGCATGGACGTCCAATGCAGTGACAGGCAGTACGAGCACAAGGGCAGGTGCTGCTCCCGCTGCGCCCCAGGTATGGAGCAGATCCCTTCCCTGCCCCTCCCTGCGCCAGAGCCTCGGCCCGGAGGGGTCCATCTTGGCTGCCTTGGCCCCCGGGGCCGGGACCTTGGCTCGGTGCTGCCTGCAGAGCCGGCCAGTCTAGCCCCCGGTGCCCGGTGGCACCTCCTTGGGTGCTGCATGGCAGGTGCTGGGCTCCACGGGCAGCTGCACCAGGCAGGGAGGGAACACGGGTGCTGTGTGTTGCAGGACAGAAGGTGACGGCCACTTGTATCGAGGGGTCGGGAGTGTCCAAGTGTGCTCCCTGCGAGGAGGGGTACTTCCAGGCCCACTGGACCAAGGAGAATCACTGCATGCCCCACAGCTACTGCGACTCCAGTAGGTGCCGGCACAGGGCTCTCTGGCAGGCAGGCAGCAGTCACGCACCCCTCCCCATGCTCCAGCAGCCCCTGCCACGGGAGGGGCCTGGCCGTGGCTGGCTCTGTGGCCCACCTTTCCCTCCCTCCCTTCCTTTGGCAGACGCTGGCCTGGTGGTAAAGACACCGGGGGATGAGAAACAGGATGTCACGTGTGGCTGCCAGGTGGGCATGCACTGCACCAGCGCCCAGTGCCAGACCTGCCGGCCGAAACCCCTCTGCAAGCCAGGCTTTGGACTCATGCCAAGAGGTGAGTGCGGCCTGGCACTCGCAGGGCCATGCTCCCCTGCGCAGCCCTGGTTCCCCACCGCCAGGTCACAGCAGCCCCAGCAAGGGCAGGCGAACAGGCCCCTGGCTCTTAAGCGCAGAGCGGGTGGAGGGACCTCCCAGAGGGTGCAGCCGGCCCCACTTAGGCAGGCACGTGTGTCGCACCTGCTCTGGGGGAGCCTGGGAGACAGGTTGGGGTGCCTTGTTTGTGTCCCACACCTTCCCTGCCCCCCGCCTGCCTGACACTCACCCCTGCGGTCGTCTCGGCTCTGTTCCAGCCCAGGAGGACGCGCCGCCCATGTGCCAGCCCTGCCCGGACGGCAGCTTCTCCAATGTCACCTCCAACAGCAAGCCATGCCAGCCCTGGAGCAGGTACTGCAGGGTGGGGGTGCAGCACGGGGAGGTGCACCAGGGAGCGAGGGAGCCCAGAGACACTTGCCAGCAGGGACACACCTGGCAAAACCCTGGCTTTCCCTCTGTGGTCTGTGGGGTCTGGGCTTATGAAGCCGTGTCCACGCCCACTGCAGATGCGAGGATCAGGGGCTGGTGATGAAGGAGAACGGGACCCGGAGCTCCGACGTGGTGTGTGGTGAGTGCCAAGACCCCGGGCACCGCGCTGCGGGTGCAGCAGGACACAGCTGAGCCAGGGGACCCCCTCGGCTCACTGGCCTGCTGCTGGGGCCCTTACCCCTGCCTGATCCAGCCCGTCAGGCAGCTCCCCCATCCCCGTTGGGGCAGCTCCAGCTCTCCAGCCCCTGGGCAGTGCCCGTCCAAGTAGTCAGCAGGGCCTGCCTGGCGCCAGGGGCTGCACGGACAAGGCCACGGGGCCTGGCGGATAGGGCCAGGTGTATCACACTGGCTTGGCATCTGCCTGAGGGTAGACAGGCCCCCAGCCGAGGGCACAGCAGGGGCATGTGGGTGGCGCAGCGTGGGGCTGAGCGGCTGACCACAACTCTTTGCAGAGCCACAACGCAGCCGCAGCCGCAGCCCCTCCTTGGTCTCAGTGCTGATCCCCATCCTGGCTGGCACCTGCGCCCTGGGGCTCTTCCTCTTCTGCTTGTATCGCAGAGGTAGGTGCAGGAGAGGGGGGCTGGCAGAGAGCTGCATCAGGGGCTGTGCCCACGTGGAGCGTCTGGGCTGGGGCCGGCCCGGGGCATGCTCAAGCGCTCGCTTGCTCACTCCCTCACTTTGTGCTCCTGTCTAGGTTTCCAGAGACTGCTGCAGAAGCAGGTACATCCTCCGGTCCCCCCATATGAAGAGGTGTGGAGCAGACTGGGGTGCCGCTGGGGGGATGTGCTCCCAATCAAGGGGTGTGGGTGGTCCCTGCACCCTGATGCCCAGCTTGGCAGGGAGAGTGGGCACAGGGCAGAGCGCTTTCAGGGGGAAGGTGCAGCCCTGAGGGGCACCCGCACCATGAGGGCCTGTGCAGGGGGGCAGGGGCAGGGGCATGAGTGTCCCTGTGCTGGGGAAGGGTCCTCCACGAGGCTGCACGTGATGGGTGCCCAGGGGCTGCTGTCAGTGCACAGACGGGGCAGAGATGCCAGGGCCTGTGAGGACAGTGTGATTCCCCCAGGGCTGGGCAGGGGGGCAGCAGGAGCCGAAGGGAAGGCCTTGGGGGGCAGGGGTCTGGGTCTCCCCCAGCGCCAGGTGCTCTTGGTGCTCAGCACAGTCCTGACCCCCTGCCTGTGCCGCTCAGGATACCGTGCTGCTGAAGAATGTGAAGGTGGACGTGGACGGAGAGCCGCGCCCGGAGCCATCAGAGGAGGATGAGATGCCGAGCGAGCAGAACATCCCCGTGCAGGAGACCACAGTGGGTGGGCAGCCTGTAGCCCAGGAGGATGGCAAGGAGAGCCACATCTCTGAGCGGGAGAGGCCATGAGGTGGCGTGGGGCACCCACACTAGGGCCCACTGCCTCGCACGGGTGGAAGCCAGGTCCAGCGCGTGCTGTGCCGCCAGGCAGCCCAGGGCATGGCCGGCTGCCCGGGGGCTGGGGCACAGCCTGCACCCGTCGCCTACGAGCACGAGAGGTGGTGGATCCCACATGGCCAAGGGTGACATGGCACGGCACGGCATGGCACGGCTCTACGAGGCTGCAGGTCACGGGTGCCCAGGGGCTGCTGTTGGTGCACAGACGGGGCAGAGATGCCAGGGCCTGCAAGGACAGTGCGGGACTGACTGCCCGTGGAAGGTGGACGCAGGAAACGGAGGCATTTTGGGACTCCACGCTGAATCTGCCCGTTGGACAATAAAGGTCCGGAGGCTGCGCCCACGGTGCCTCCTGGCGCTCACGGTGCTCTGCTCTCATCACTCTGGGCCCCCTGAGCTTGGGGTGGGTCCGGCTGTGTCCCTCCTGGCCTGGGCACTGGGGATGCCCCGGGCCTGCTCCTTGCCCTCGCACTCACACTGCACTTCCCGGATGCAAGGGCCTGCGCCGTGCACGCCCAGTGGCGACAGCCCCCGCCCCAGCTCCCCCCAGTCCAGGCGCTGGAGAGCCCCTGCCCCAGCGCGGGCGGGAGGCCGATGCGGTGGCTCCCCAGCAGGTGGCGCTGCCGGCACGCGGCACCCAGCGCTGCCCCAGCCGTCCTGGCACCAGTGCTGTGGGGGGGGCTGCTTGGGAGCCCCGGCCATGCCCTGCCACAGCCGGGGCTGGGCCTCACGGGGCTGCACAGAGAACCACGGGCAGGGGGCTGGCTGGGCTGCGGTGCCCCTTAACCGCGGCACTGCCCCTCTCTGCCCAGGTCAAGGGGACACTGCAGCTCCTGCTGCCCCCGGGCCCCTCCCCCAGCTGTGCCCCAGGTCCGGGTTGGTGCCAGGCATGTGGGGATGGCCCATGCCTGGAGCTCCCCCTACCCCGTCCCCCATCAGGGCTGTCCCAGGTGAGGCTGCTGTGGACCCCGGCCAGTTCCCAGCTCATTGCCTGCAGGCCCCTTCCTCTGAAGATCCCAGCAGCCTGCTGCACGCAGCCACCGGGCTCCAGCCCCGAACGGAGGGCCCAGCCCCAGCTCCTTTGGACAGGAGACCTGTCTTCAGCCCTGTCCAGGCAGGGGCAGGCCCAGCCCCACCTCCCCCTGCCCAGGGCAGCACCTGGAGCCTTCTCCCAGTGCCAGGTGCAGCTCCCCCTTGGCCCCAGCCACGCGGCACACAAGCACACACATGCACACGCACATGCACAGTCACGTGCCTGCAAGTCCTGGGCGGGCACAGTGTCCCCCCTAGTGCACATGGGCACTGAAGCGGGCAGGCCTGTACACGCTTGCTCACTCCCCACACTCACACTCAGAGGTGCTTGTGCACACATGCATGGGTGAGTGTGCACACACAGCTGCCCCCCACAGTCGTGCACTCACAGCTGCCGCCCCCCGCAGTCGTGCACAGCTCCAACCTTCATAGAAGCTGGGTATTTACTGCCGGCAGCTGACATTTCTGCATTTATGACTCCTCTCCTTCCCGTGCGCTGCCATGGCGGCCACAATGGGAACAATTACGCTCAATTATTCTCCACCGCACGGTTGACAAAAAGCTGGTATTTAAACTTTAATTATCCTCCCAGCATGTGCGTCACCACCTCCTGCCAGCTCTGAGGCGCCCCGCGCTCGGCCCCTGCCCAGGCCTCCCCACCCGGCCGCTCGCGGCCCCTTGGGGGCTCAGAGCTCCGCGCCCCCTGCCCGGCGGTCCAGCCTCGGCTGGGTCCCCGCAGGGCACAACTGGGGGGCTTTCCCTGCTGCCCAGGGCTACGCCGGCCTGCG